CGTAGTGACGCAGGGGAGTCTAGGCGACGGCGGCGTCCTCGGACGCCGCGGCGAGCCTGAGCTCGGTCGCAATCTCTTCCGCCGCCGCGAGCTGCAGCGCGACTGACATGCGCTGGGCCTGCAGCAAGAGCCACGACCGCGTCGACCAGCTCGCCTCGTCCTCGTGCTGCCGCTTCGAGAGCTTGTTGCGCACCTTGTCCTTCATCTGGTAGAACAGCCGCTTGACCGCGTTGCACCACCCGCCGAAGGTTTCGAACAGGTACATCTGCACGTCGGTGTCCGAGCGCGAGAGGGCGTGCGCGTCTAGTCCGCCTTCTTGTACGCCACATAGCCGCCGCCGTCGCTCGGCCTGAAGTCGCCGTCCCCGACAGCGCCGCGCTGCTCGAGGCCGAAGACGTCCGCGCTCGTGCCGGGCTCGGTGTTGCCGAGGCCGACGAAAGCGCCTCGCTGGCCGACGTCCTCCGGGTTGGAGGAGAGCGAGTCCTTGAACTTGACGTTTAAGGCCGATGGTGTAACCTTATCGCGCGCGCTCGCGACGCCGACCGACTCGGAGGCCGGTGTTGACAGAAAAACACAACCCCGCCCGGACCCAAGACGCCCGGCTGTCGCCGCGGGGCCCCCACGAACACCACGCGTCGGATGCGGTGCCGCGCGAACTCGCACGCAAAGTGCACGCCCCACGCCCGCCGCAGCGTCGTAGCGAAGTAGGACCGCGCCTCCTTCGCGCTACGCGCGCCGATCCGCCTCCAGTGCTGCTTGGATGCCGAATCCACCACACGAATAGCTGGTGCAGGTGAGGCTGCGCACGGTGCCAAACGAGCGCAGCACGGTGTTCACAGTGTTGCAGCGCGATCCGAACGCGGGAAGAAGTGCGGTCCAGTGCGCTCACGTGGGTGCGCCGTCCGGGCGGCGGCCGCAACATCGAGCTCGCTCACAGTCGCATATCGCGCGGGCGGCGCAGCAATGGACGAGCTCTCAGAGTATGAGCTGCAACGACTGGAGCACATCCGTCGTAACCACGAGATGCTCGTGCGGCTCGGCCTCGTCGACCCGACACCGGCCGCGCCGCAGCAGAAGGCGCCAAGGAAGCCCCGGACCAAGCTTCCGCCGGTGCCGCCCGAGTCGCTGCGACGCTCATCTCGCGTGCGCGACCTCAAGCCCGAGTACACCAAGGAGACCATCGACCAGTTCGGCGACGATCTCGACCGGCAGGCGGCGAGGCGCTCGCCGGCGAAAAAGCGGCCTCGGCCAGAGGAGGAGGACGCGGACGAGGCGGCGCTGCGTCGGGAGATCGACGCGAGCACGGTCGCCTTCCTCACTGAAGGCGCGGCGAGGCCCTTTTCCCGCCTACCTTCCCCTTCTGCCGAACGGGGGCCGGACCCCCGGCCAACCGCCGAACGCCCTGTTTCCGAAGTAGGCCGGTTCCGGCCGTTTGGGG